TTCTATGATATTGCTCTACCTTTTACCCTGTTTCTGCCCTACCCCTGTCATCAATAAAGTTCTCCTTTGTGACCGGTGTGGGAAACTTATTGAGGGGTGGGTCTAAATTATGCCAAGGAGGCCCCTTAGGTCTGTGGACTAAGGGAGACTTTCCTAATCAGCCCCTGACTTGGGGAAAGTGCCCCAAGTGCCTGTATTGGGTCTAGCACCCATTGGACGATCAGGCCTGTGTTTTCCAAGGTGCACAGAGCCAGAAGTGAGACCAGAGCCTTGGCTGGTGGCAGCGGGAACCCCAGGCTAGCGGGTGTGCTCCAGGGAAGGGGTCGGCCGGACGGGAGACACCCTAAGGGAGGCACTCGGAGCCTGGAAGGTGGTCGGGAGCAGGGAGGTGGGCGGCTCAACGCAGGAGCGCCCCCTACTGGCCCGCCACAAACAACTCCTGCTCCCGAGTGTTAGGAACAAGTTCTGGATTGAAGGAGCGCCCCCTACTGGCCCGCCACAAACAACTCCTGCTCCCGAGTGTTAGGAACAAGTTCTGGATTGAGGTGAATCCTCTAAAAGGGGAAGAACTTGGGAATCCTAGAGAGATCTGCCCTGGAAAAGGTTCTGGCACCTGGCCTGTTTCCACTTCACAGCTCTGAGAAGAACATGGAGACCGACCACAGGGATCATATGTTCATTTTTGGGGCTTTATTAGCAAGAAAACCACTGTAAAGAATGGGACGATGGGAAGGAGGGCAGGGGGAGCCGCTGGCACCTGGCGGTGCACAGTTCTGGAGAGAGGGTGAAAAGCAAACCCTGTTGAACTGGGCTCAGGGGGTGAAGCAGCAGCACCAGCAGCCTGCGTCACCCAGTGGGCATGAGCAGGGCAGAGAAAGGGGTTATGTGGTGGTGAGGAAAGGTGAGGTCAGGGAAAAAAAATCAGGGAATCCTTTCCCAGCCATTAATATCCCTATTCCTGCAACTCAGGATCCTCACATAGCAGGTCCCTGGGATCAGCAGGGAGGACAAAGCTTGGAGGACGCACAAGACAGTCCCTGAGTGTCATCTGGAGCCAGTTAACTTGGGAGAGATCCCTACTGTGAGGACACTTCTACCCCAGGAGCACTGACCGCTTCCAGGGAATGATAGGCAGGGCTGGTGTTTGGGGTGTGGGGGTGCTAATCTGCCCCAGGTCCTGTGCTTTGGGGGCCCCGTGGAGCCAGGCGGAGGAGCCATGGAGATTCAGTGCCACAGCCACTGCTGGCTTTGCATTCAGCCACTTGGCAAGCTCCCCCCGCCCCCTGCCCACCCGCATCCACTGCAGGCTTCTTTGCATTTGGGGCGCATAGGCAGGGCTGGTGTTTGGGGTGTGGGGGTGCTAATCTGCCCCAGGTCCTGTGCTTTGGGGGCCCCGTGGAGCCAGGCGGAGGAGCCATGGAGATTCAGTGCCACAGCCACTGCTGGCTTTGCATTCAGCCACTTGGCAAGCGCCCCCCGCCCCCTGCCCACCCGCATCCACTGCAGGCTTCTTTGCATTTGGGGCGCATGGGGGCGGGGCCCCACACAGGCTGCTTTGCCCCAGGCTCCAAACCCTGCTCAGGTCATCTCTGCTGATAGGGAATATATAGGCTCCAAGGCTAATGCAAAGATCATCACCTCAGAGGTTCCTCTGCATAAGGTATTTCTTCCTAGCCTTTCCTAGTCTCTCCTACCTGTCAAACTTTGCACCCCAACCTCTAGGTCCTTTGGGTTCTGCGGGGCACCTAGGGTGGCCATCATGGAGGACAGTCCAGTCCCTGAGTGTCATGTGCAGCCAGTTAATTCGGGAGAGAGCCCTATTGTGAGGAAACTTCTACCCCAGGAGCACTGACTGCTTCCAGAGAACGATAGGGAACATATAGGTCACGAAGATCACCACCTCAAGGTTTCCCCAGTGATCTGGGCTAACTTTTGCATAAGGTATTTATTCGTAGCCTTTCCTAGTCTCTCTTAACTTGGAAACTTTGCACCCAAACCTCTAGGTCCTTTAGGTTCTGCACTGCACTACATGGGCTCAGGGCAGGGTGAACTCTTCCTGCACTCTTCCCAGGATGAAGCTGCTTGCCTGAATGCATCCACTGGTGGGTGCTGAGCACATAGACATCCCCAAATCCTTTCTGCAGTGCTGGCAGAACTATGGATGCTCCTGTGTGTGGATGCACTGGTGCTTAGCCAGGAGGGAGGAGCAAGTGAAGCTTTGCCGACACTCTGAGCACCAATGCAGCTTGTCCCTCATGTGGATGCGCTGGTGTTGAGCCAGGTGGGAGGAGCGGGCAAACGCCTCCCCACACTCAGGGCACTGATGTGGCTTCTCCCCTGTGTGGATGCGCTGGTGCTGGACCAGGTGGGAGGAAAGGGTGAAGCTCTTCCCACACTCTTGGCACTGATATGGCTTTTCCCCTGTGTGGGTGGGCTGGGGGTGGACCAGGTGGGAGGAAAGGGTGAAGCTCTTCCCACACTCTTGGCACTGATATGGCTTCTCCCCTGTGTGGATGCGCTGGTGCTGGACCAGGTGGGAGGAAAGGGTGAAGCTCTTCCCACACTCTTGGCACTGATATGGCTTCTCCCCTGTGTGGATGCGCTGGTGCTGGACCAGGTGGGAGGAAAGGGTGAAGCTCTTCCCACACTCTTGGCACTGATATGGCTTCTCCCCTGTGTGGATGCGCTGGTGCAAGAGCGGGTGAAGCTTTTCCCACATTCAGGGCACTGATGTAGCTTGTCCCCTTTGTGGATACGTTGGTGACGGTCCCGGTGGGAAGCTTGGGTGAAGCTCTTCCCACACTCTGGGCACTGATGTGGCTTTTGTCCTGCATGGATGAGTTGGTGCTGGGCTAGGTAGGAGGAGCGGGTGAAACTTTTCCAACACTCAGGGCACTGATATGGCTTCTCCCCTGTGTGGATGCGCTCGTGGTGAATCAGGCTGGAGGAGTGGGCGAAGCTCTTCCCACACTTGGGGCACTGATGTGGCTTCTCCCCTGTGTGGATGCGCTGGTGCTGGACCAGGTGGGAGGAAAGGGTGAAGCCCTTCCCACACTCTTGGCACTGGTGTGGTTTTTCCCCTGCATGGATGAGCTGGTGCTGGGCTAGGTAAGAGGAGTGGGTGAAGCTCTTCCCACAGTCTGGGCACTGATATGGCTTCTCCCCTGTGTGGATGCGCTGATGGTGAACCAGCCTGGAGGAGTGGGCAAAGCTCTTCCCACACTCAGGACACTGATGTAGCTTCTCCCCTGTGTGGATGCGCTGGTGTCGGACCAGGGGGGAGGAGCGGGGGGAGGATGTGGCTTCTCCCGTGTGTGGATGTGCTGGGGGTGGACTAGGCTGGAAGACTGGGTGGAGTGCTTCCCATGTGCAGAGCACCCGGGTGTCTTCTTCCCTGTGCAGATGAGCTGGTGACAGGACAGGTCTCGCCTGTTGGTGAAAATCCTCCTGCACTTTGTGCACTGGATCGTCTTCCTCTCTGCGTGGATGTGCTGGTGCTGCGATGGGCAACTGAAGGTTTCCCTGCACTCAGGGGTTGATTGGGCCATCTCCATGAGCTTGGTTGTGAGGTCCTGCTTCCCGCTAAGGCTCACCCTGTTGTCGGAGTTTAAATTAAATTTCTCTTTCTGGTGAATCTTTCCCTTGGAGCTTTTCATCTCTCTGAGCTTCTCAACCTCTTCCCAGTAACGCTGGCTCTTACCAGGCTTCACCACTCCACTCTCACACGTATCAGGAGTCTGTATCTTGTTCAACAACATATTCTCCATGTGGGTTTGGGTCCTGCGAGGCCTCTTATGCAAACAGTCCTCCTCAGGACTTGGGGGGTCCTTCCCTCCTGATGTACTTGGGGAAGTCTGTGGTGGTTCCAGATCTGCAGGCCCTTCATCTGGAGGTTGCTCCTCAGCTCTGCTCAGCATCAAGGCAGTTCCTGGGTGGGGGGAAATAAAACCTCTAGATTTTGTCAGGGCCCCAC